GTACACCAGCTTGTTCCAAGTTGGCAGATCCCTCATGCCCTGGTTGAAGTCTGTTACGTAGCCGCTGAGTGAACGTGAGGAACGAACGGAAAGGAGGAGGAGACAGAAAGACCATGTGGGAACCTACCCCCCTTGTTCTTGAAATATTCAGTGTCCTTCCACATCAGGGGGATCCGTAGATCTGTGGGGGGGGGGGGGGAAGGAAAGAGAATTATGGATGATGATCTGTATGGCCACACAAGGCATTAAGGACATCGATGCACAGCTTGTTTACAGTCACAAACCTTAGTCCCCTGTCCTTTAGACAAAGATAAATGGAACTGAATGGAGTGCGGTGGTCAGTTAGGCAGTGACTGGCCCCACTCGGCTTCTCTCTGCCTGCCCAATTTGTGGGAGAGGCTCCTTTCTGAATTTCCTTGGGAGCAAGTTGGGAAGCGGATCCCCCTCCTGAGCAGAGGCTGGGCTCCAGGGCTGCCTGCTACAGGTCGGGGACCTCTTCAACAGGGCATGCGGGGTGGCTGCCCCACGCCAATCCTGGCTGTGCACAAGCTGTGCTTGGGGAAGCTTCTTCTGCCCCCCCCCCCTACCCTGGTCCCAAAGGTCTAAGGCAGGGGTCTCCAACCTTGGCAACTTTAAGCGCCGGGATACAATTGCTACCAACCTGCCTTCCATTGAGGCCCTGTCTAGTGCATGAGTCAAAAAGAGGGCTGTGAAAATATTTACAGACCCCTCACATCCCGGACATAAACTGTTTCAACTCCTTCCCTCAAAACAACGCTATAGAGCACTGCACGCCAGAACAACTAGACACAAGAACAGTTTTTTCTCAAACACCATCACTCTGCTAAACAAATAATTCCCTCAACACTGCCCAACTATTTACAAAGTCTGCACTACTATTACTATTAATCTTCCCATCCTTTTTACCCATCCTCCCACTTATGACTATAATCGTGTTGCATCTTTACAATTTATATTTCCAAACGCCATCACTCTGCTAAACAAATCATTCCTTCAACACTGTCCAACTATTTACAAAGTCTGCACTACTATTACTATTAATCTTCTCATCACTCCTTATCACCCATCCCCTCCCACTTGTGACTGTATGACTGTAACTTTTATCGCTTGTATCCTTATGATTTATATTGTTTCCTAGTATGATTTGATTGCTTATTTGTACCCTATGACTATATTCTATTTACTATATACCCTATGACTATCATTAAGTGTTGCACCTTATGATTATTCACTCTTGATGAATGTCTCTTTTCTTTTATGTGCACTGAGAGCATTTGCATCAAGACAAATTCCTTGTGTGTCCAACCACACTTGGCCAATAAAGAATTCTATTCTATTCAATTCCCAGAATTCCTCAGCCAGCTTTGGGAATTCTGGGAGGTGAAGTCCACAAATCTTAAAGTTGCCAAGGTTGGAGACCTCTGGTCTAAGGGCCTGGAAGCTGAGCCTGGCTGGGCAAGATTGGAGCCAGAATGGAAGGACAGGATTAACTGGGCAAAAACCAGCATCTCTGCTGGACAAAACTCCAGTGCCATCCCTTGCCCAGAAGAGAAAGTTACAAAAACTCCAGGGGAGCCATGCTGGTTTCATAGGGTGCCTGAATGGCCTGCAGGAGAAGAGGAGGGCAGCCAGGAACTGTGGTGGGTGGGTGGGTCAGTGGGTGAAGCTTTTCCCAGCTTCCTTATAAGGCTCTGTTTCTTTAGCCCACGTCAGGTTGAATGAAGGTTGGCATAGCTGGCCTTGTGGGCCAAAGTAGCAGAGCTCCTTCTTCCTTATAGTGCGATTCTTCCATTATTCCTAGCAAAAGTTTCCTGATAGGCAGAGACGAATGCTAACAACAGAAATACTACCATGTTTGAAATATATGAAACTTAAATAAACTTTATTTTAAATTTAAAAAAAAAATACTACCATTCGGACTGAATCATTCGACTACTGTCCTTTCCAACCATAAAATGTGAATTTTTAAAAAAAGTGGGGTTGCTCTAATTCTCTTTAACTAAAATGCTACCTGAGGCCGGGAAGGTCTGAGAATGCTGCAAAATACAACATCCCGTTGAAAAGGCAATGGATATAAGACCCTCCCTCCCATTTCTTTTCTGGCTCCACTGAGACGTGTGAGGGGAGCAAAGCCTGACCAGGCTTTACCCCCGAGGACCAGCCCCCTCCTTACCCGAGACACAGATTCGGCCCCGACATGGTAAGCGACTGTCCGTGGATCCAGCCTCAGAAGGACTAAATTTGGGGGCAGGAGGTAGAGGAGAGAGTGAAACCAAGGATTATTAAAACGACAATTCCAATTATTAAAACGCTCCCGGTACAAAGCACAGAATTTATGACTCTGACTGTCACCAGAAAGGCAGTACTGTATTTCTTGTGGCAGCTGAGAAAATCAAGCATGAACTGAGTGAAACAGGTGTTCAAAAAACACTAATATCAGTGGGGATTAATATGAACAAGGGGAGTCTTTAAGGAGTTTTCACCTGGATTAAACCTAAGGAGGGAGGGAGACTCAGAGCAAGGCAGGGGTGTGTGTGTATTGCTCTGCTGCCTGCCCAGCCTGGCGGAAGGGAGGTCAAAAACCCTGAAGCTGCGGGGAAGAGAGGCTTTCCTCGCCCGCTCCCCACATTCCCCAGAATGAGGCAGAGCCCCAAAGATCCTTGACTGGCTCCCAATCCCCGCGGAAAGAAGGTGAGCGCAGGAGGAGGCAGGGAGGGAAAGGAAAGGGCCAGGAAAGTGGCCGACATGAGGTGGGCCTGAGCAGGTTTCCATGGCAACAGAAACCAGCAAAAGGGGGGGGGTGCATGTGCGCTCCAGGATGCCTGAATCTCTGCTTCCGTGTGGCCCTCTGCATGCGTCTGCCTGCACACCAACCCAGCAAGACTTCCAGCCGGTGCCTCCCCCCCACCCACCTCCACCTCCCAGAGGCCAACTCACCGCCGAGCCATGTGCTGCATCACCTGCGCCTCCTTCATGCGCTGCAGCTCCGCCATATAGGCCAGGATTCGGTTGTTGCAGACCAGCAGGCTCTTCGTCACCTCCAGCGCCTGCGGCCGCTGAGTACAGGCCGCCAACAGCTTGCAGGCCCCCTCCCGCATGCGGATCTCATGGTCAATTTTCTTCTGGAGGTCTGTGCCCTGCAATGGGGGGGGGGAGGAGGAGGCAGGGGATGCAGTTGAAGGGTGCGGGTGCAAAATTTTGGCGGTAGCAAGTGGGGAGGGGGGAAACGGAACCTGACTAAACAGCTCTGGAGGCGGCGTATGGGGGAGAGGAGACCAGTGAGCTGGCATGGTGCCCCCCCCCCGATGGCTTTGGGGCCGGTGGGGAGAGAAGAAGTGGCCCCCCCACAGCACCTCCTCCCTTATCCGCTTGCAGAGGCGTTTCAGGGAAGAGGAGAGCCTGGGGGTGCCAGTGCCATAAGAGCAGCCACACATCTGGAGGGCACCGTCCCCCCGTTGCCCCCCTCTCCTTTTCCTCCCACTCATGAAAAGGCAGTGAAAATCCTCCCCCCTCCCCATCTGTCAGCTGGGCAAGAAGGCCCTCAGACCAACCCCCCCCCCCCTTTGCGGCCCCTTCCCAGCCCCCGGGGGGGGGGGGGGTGCAGTTTTTGCAGCAGCTGCAACCCAGAGCAGCTCACCACCCTCTGGGCCTGGAATGCTGCGGGTGGGGGGTGGGAGGGAGAAGGGGGGGCAGCTCTTTTCGGGATGCCCCCTTGGCCCAGAGGCCAACCCGGGCGGGGGAGGAGAGCAGGACGGATTATGACCCCCTCAATCCACCCATCAGTGCCTTAACTGGGACCTAGGGAGGTCGAGACCCCCCCCCCTCGGAATGCGCCCTGCCGCCCCCAACCCAGAGCTGGCTGTTCCCGCAGCCTCCGCCTTCTCTTCCCCGCAGCTCCCCGCTCACCCTGGCCGGCTTCCCGTCCTCCATGCCGCCGGCTCATAGCCCGGGGCCGCCTCCGCTCCGTTCGCTCCGCTGCAGGGCGGTTCTCCAGCTGGCCGCAGCTGCGCCGGAGGGGAGGGGTCGCCTGGGCAGGGTCTAAGCGGGAGGGAGGGCGGTGGGGGGGGGGGGGCGGCTGTGACATCACCGCTGCCTAAAATTAGGCCGGCTGGGATCTGAGGGGGCCGGAATGCCTCGCGAGGTGGAGACAACTGCGGAGGGACCCCGGCCCAAAAGCCCAGCGCCCTTTTGCCCTTGCCGCGGGGCCAGGGCTGCCTTCCCTCCGGAGCAGAGACGGGGACCCCCACGCGGGTGTGGGTGGGTGGGCGGCGGCTGATGGACACAGAGAGGGCCCGATCCGCTGAGGGATTGAGGCCCCTGCGCGTGAGGCTGAGAAGGCAAACGGGGAGGGGTCCTCGCGGCTATTCAGTGCCAACGCAGGAGAGTCTGGGAGCCGTTTCTACTCCCAGGAATCCGCTGGGCCCCTCTTGGAGTGGGGGCAGCCCAGGCAGGGCACCCTCCTCCCCCTCCCAAGGGGCCACTCTTATTTCTCTCCAGCGTCATCAGCCTTTATTTGCCCCCAGACAAATGCCGCCCCCCTCCTGCCAGGGCCCTTGGCCTCTTCTCACAAAGAGACAGCAAAGGGGTGTGGAAGGCTTAAGGTCCCAAGCAGGCAAGGTGTTTCCCGTTTCCCCCATTCCAAGATCCTGGTGGGCAATTGCGAGAGATGGCACCTCCTGCCAATCCTGCCACAACCCTCTGTTGGGCAGCCAAGCAGGAACACGCTGAGTTCCAGGACTCCGGGCTCCCGAAGGACCCAGGGCAAAGGGGAATTGGGCAGCGCCTGCCAAGCCCGCATGCCCACCGACTGCTCAGGCTAACAGGAGCAGGAGGAGACCCAACAGGTGGAGCTCACAAAGATGCAGCAACGTCACCGAGGAAGCCACGGGCAAAAAGTGCCTGGCAGGAGCCCAGCCCAGGGAGCCTCCTGCCATGTCTCTCTGCCTCTCAAGAAGTGTGCAGGGACCAGCCGGATGGACGAAGGAAACGGGTCCCCGTCAGGGGTCGTCACCAGGTGCTGCGGGCTGAGAGCAGCGCTACTACTCTTGCATGGGGACCCCACTAAGACCCAGGGGAGTCGAAAGTATATCCTGGAAGGCAGCCACGCGGTTGCCACCCAAACTGCAGCGACACACCTGAACAGCCCTGTTCGACCCAGGCCGCTGCTCAGTTTGCAGCCCCTCCTTAGCAACATCTGTGGGAGGGCTTCTCTCTGGCCCTCCTGGGCCAAGACACAGCCCTCCCCCACCTAAATGGGCAACCCTATACATCGAAACACCCCCACCCACACGCTGACCCCCACCCACAAATGTCCCCCCTCCACCCCGCCCTTTGAAAAGCAGCAACGTCCAGCCGCGGGGTACCTCCAGGCTGAGGGCGATCTGCCGGATGTAGAGCATGTTCAGATCCTCCAGGATGTGCAGCTTGTCCTGCATTGCCCCAGGCCCCCTGTGCGGGCGGGCAGCCCCCCCCTCCCGAGGTCCCCCTGGTGGTGTGGCTTCAGAGCAAAGACCCCCAAACTGGGCTTCCCATGGAGCTCGACGCCAGCAGGCTCTCGGGCTGCTTTTGAGGCAGGGTGTGGGGTGTGGGGTGTGTGTGTGTGAGGGCAGCAGGCTCACTCCTCCGGCCCCTCTGTCAGCAGATGCCGCTCTCCTGGGCCAGCTGTGAAAAGAATAGGGGCCTTTCTTTCGTGCCAGCCCAGCAGCTCCACCGCCCACCCGGAGAACAAGCGGCCACTGTGACTGAAAGGGCAGGGCTGGGGGGGCCCAGAGGCTGCACCCAGCTGCCAGGCAGGGCACGGCCCTCCCCCTCAGCCTCCAGGCTCTGCAGTGCCACCCCCCCTCTGTTAGCCGGGGCCCCACTGTTTAGGCATGGCTTCCCGGAAGGGCCAGTTTGGACGGAGGGGCTTTGGGGTGCCCTGGGCAGGCGGATGCTGCTGCCCCCTGCTGACTGGCCCAGGGACTTTCCTCCCGAGAGTGGAGCGGTGGCGGCTCTGCCCCGCTGGGCTCCCCCAGCCCCTTACCTCCTACGTGAGGGTGGCTGCCTTGCCCATGTCCCCCTGCCCTTCCCTCCTGGGTCGTAGGCGCTCCATGCACAGGAAATCTGCCTGGCTTCCACCCCCCCCACCCCCGCCAGCCTTCCTGTTCCAGCTCATCTTACAAGGGCCGCCCCTCCAAGCTGGCTGCTCCAACAGCCTCGCCTCTCCTTCAGACACCTCCCTCCCTGCCTGCGATGGAAGGAAGCAGGCAGGCGGGTGGGTGGCTCCTTGTCCCCAGCACTCTTGGGCCGGGGAGGAGACCACCAACCCCAGCCAGGCACCAGTCCAGAAACTTCTCTGTTCCCTGAGGTCCAAGCCCCAGCCAGAAGCCCCCGAGGCTATGCCAGCCCTCGGCCACCAGAGGGCAGCCAACGTCCCCTGAAGGGCCAAGAGGAGAAGCAGAGCTCAACACACACACACACACACACACACACACACCGAGAGATGCCAGGGGGCTCCTTCTGCCTTCTCCTTTGGCACCAACCGCCTCTTCGGGTGGCTCTTCCTGGGATGCCATCCCTCTGTGAGGCAGTGTGGGAAAATGTGCCCTGGGCAGGGGGAGTGGGGTGGGGGTGGTGGGGTTTCCCTCTGGCTGAGAATACCCCAAGAAGGACTTTCCCTTCCCGTAAGGCTGAGAGGATGAGGTGGGGGGAGGCAGGAGAGACCTGGCCATGGATTCCGCAGCTGGAGGTACCCCTGAGCCTCCCAAGGGGATCTGCTTGGAGACCAGTCTTCAGTTAATTTAACCTCCTTTAATAGGATCTGAGTTAATGGGCAGCCAGTGACACACACACACACACACACACACACACACACACACACACACACACACACACACACGGCTGGGCTTTCCTGAGAGGTTAGTGATCTGCTTCCCTTTGCCTGCTGCGTTTGCCTTGAGGGGGGCGTTCTGGCCCAGCCCCACCCACTCTTTGAAGAAGGGGAGATAAAGGTGGGTCACTGAATTGGCCTTGATCACTCCCCCTCCTGCAACCTCTAAAGCAGAGATCTGCAAACTTGGCAACTTTTAAGACTGCTGGACTTCAACTCCCAGAATTCTTCATTCAGCTTCGTCTGCTGGAAAATTCTGGGAGTTCAAGTCCACAAGTCTTAAAAGTGGCCAAATTTGGGGACCCCTGCTCTAAAGGGTCCCCAAGGTTTGATCCCTTTACACAGGGGTCTGAAGGTGTGTCCCCCCCCCTCCCCATTTCCTTTGGGCTGCACTGCTTGCATTTTTTTTTCTCAGCCGGGGTGAATGGTTACCTCTAAAGAGCAAGGCTGTTCAAACTTGGCAAGTTTAAGACTTGTGGACTTCCACTCCCAGAATTCCTGAGCTAACATGACTGGAGGAAGAATTCTGGGAGTTTAAGTCAACCAGTCTTAAAGCTGTCAAGTTTGAAGACCTCTGAATTCTATCATCTATCTGTCTGTCTGTCTGTCTGTTTATTGTCTCCCCATCCATCCATAATCTATCACAAGGGTCTTCAAACTTGGCAAGTTTAAGACTTGTGGACTTCAACTCCCAGAATTCCTGAGCTAACATGACTGGAGGAGGAATTCTGGGAGTTTAAGTCAACCAGTCTTAAAGCTGTCAAGTTTGAAGACCTCTGAATTTTATCATCTATCTGTCTGTCTGTCTGTCTGTCTGTCTGTTTATTGTCTCCCCATCCATCCATAATCTATCACAAGGGTCCTCAAACTTGGCCAGTTTAAGACTTGTGGACTTCCACTCCCAGAATTCCTGAGCTAACATGACTGGAGGAGGAATTCTGGGAGTGGAAGTCCACCAGTCTTAAAGCTGTCAAGTTTGAAGGCCCCTGCATGGAGCTTCTCAGCCATCCAGGCCATGGTTGTCCCAGAGGTGCTTTTTCGAGGCAGCTGGATTTTCTTTTCTTTTTTTTTCTTGGCTGATATTTTGCACTTCTCATCCCAGAAGCTTCTTCCGCTCTCCTTCTCCTTCTCCTCCTCTTCTTCTTCAGAGCTGAAGAAGCTTCTGGGACGAGAAGTGAGACATCTTCCAAGAAAAAAAACCAAAACCCAAGCTGCCTCTTGAGAAAGCACCTTTGGGGGCAGTTCTGTGACTATGAATCCGGCTTCACAGAGCATCCTCACTCCGCCCTCCCCCAATGCATATGGAGGGAACTGTGCAATGGGGATGCAGGTCTTCCATGGTTTTATCCTCAAGTTTCTTTCCTAAAGCGACACAGCCTGGAATCAGGGTTTCTCACAGCTTCTGGTCCCCCACAGCGCCTTTCCCCGAGTTGAGAGGTGGCTCAAATCTGAGCACTTTTGCCCAGTGGTGGGATTCAAATATTTTACTACCGGTTCTGTGGGTGTGGCTTGGTGGGCGTGGCTTGGCTTGGTGGGCGTGGCTTGGCTTGGAAGGTGTGGCAGAGGAAGAATCCTGCAAAATCCCCATTCCGTCCCTACTCCAGGGAGATTACTGCAAAATCTCTCCTCCCCACTCCAATAACCTGCTTTCCAGCTCCGTTCTCCTGTGCAGGGCCACCAAAGAAGACCCAGCCGATCAGCTGGGACTCAATGGGAGGCAGAGAAGAGATGGGGTTGGTGGGGCCAGTCGGAGGCGGTATTCCAAACTAGTCAACATTTCCACTAGCGGTTCTCCAGAACCGGTCAGAACCTGCTGAAGGCCACCTCTGCTTTTGCCCCCTCGTGGCTTTTCCCAGCTGAGATCCTCTGGGGGCTCCAGATCCAGAGCACAAAAAAGGGGCCCATTTCTTTTCCTCCACCCCACAGTTCTTTCTTCTCTTTGCCTTCTATTTGCAGTCCAGAAGGGAAGAGGCAGAGCACTTAACTGGAGAGATCTACGGCCATAGGGCCAGCCTCCGCTTCTTCCAGAGCCTGCTGAGATTCTCCTCTGGGCAGAAATCCACGTTCTTTGGTGAATTTTTTCTTAGCCTTTTTCACTTGGTTCCACCAAGCTTTCTTTCCACACTTCCTAGCAGCACAAATCTGCACCCCTCTCCCCGTTTTGTTCTGCAACATAATTTACTGTCTGGGGTGTGTGTGTGTGTGTGTGTGTGTGTGTACGTTTCCACATCCAATTTCCATTTTTTTCAGTTTGCAGAGAGATTTTCACCTAAATGAACCGAATAGTTATTTTTTTAAATTTCTATTGAGCCCTTCACCGTATGTACATGCAAACAGAGGTTTGCTTAAACAGAGAATTTTCTAAACAGAAACCCCCTTCTTTTCAATCATCCTGATCTCTCAGGGCCCGCTAGCTCTTCTTCCTTCCTATCCATCCACTTAGGTCACTTTCCACAAAGTATTTTTCTTTTCATGCAATTTCTCCCCAACTCCTTCCAGCTGTTTCCTAAAACGCAAGTATCACCAATGTGCATATTCCTATGTGACAACGATTTTATTCATTCATATTTTTTAGACCTTCCCTTCAATTCCTCACCTGGATCAGCCCCCTCCCACTGCCGCCCCTCCCCCCCATCTATCATGCTGCTCCTCTTCATTATGCACCAAGACAAATTCCTTGTGCGTCCAATCTCACTTGGCCAATAAAGAATTCTATTCT